TTGCTGTGTGTCAGTCACACCTAATTAAAACTGTAAAAAATCAGACCCATAATTTTTACACTTGGGAGTGTTTTAGCAGATGAGCCTTAAGGTTCTAGATTCAACTGCAAACTCAATAAAACATTTAGGTTTATTATTTAAAGAGAAAGACAGGAGGATGTTACTGAATTTATTAAGCAATCAGAATGCGGCCAGGCATGGTGGCTCACACCTAAAATCCCAGCACTTTGGGAGGCCGAGGCGGGCTGACCACAAGGTCGGGAGATTGAGACCATCCTGGCTGACATGGTGAAACCCTATCTCTACTAATCTCAGCTACTCCAGAGGCTGAGGTGGGAGAATCGCTTGAACCCGGGAGACGGAGGTTGCAGAGAGCCGAAATTGCATCACTGCCCTCCAGCCTGGGTGACGGAGCGAGACTTCATCTCAAAAAAAAAAAGAAATCAGAATGAGGCCAAGGTGGGAGGGTCACCTGAGCCCAGGAATTCAAGACCAGCCTAGGCAAGTGGTCTCACATAGTGAGATTCCATCTCTAAAAAAAACAAAAAGGAAGAAATCAGAATGTTTGAGAACTTAAGATTCAGCACGTTTGCATTTTATGTTTAGTTTCATTAAACATACAAGGCAGGTCTAACGGTGAACTAACGTTCTGCTGCGGGAGGAAGACCCAGGCAGCAGCCACCAGGGGGCCCGAGTGGAAGATGGGTCTCAAAGGCTGGGGTGCCAGTGTGCCCGTGCGCGCCAGGTATGGCCCAGAGGCCCAGGCGTTGGAGCAAAGAGCCCGGGATGGGGCGGGGTGGTCATGGGCCACCGGAGAGGATGCCGGGAGAGGCCAGAGGCTGTGACGCAGCGAGCCCAGGCCGGGACGGTCGCCCCGAGAGCTGAGGAGAGCCATGGGAGCTTTGTGTGATCAATCTGGCTACTGTGTGAAGAGCAGGTTGTGGGGTCAGCATGGGAGCAGGACGGCCGGGTGTGTCCACAGGAGCCCATGCGAAAGGCTGCTGTGGCCGGGACCAGGGCACGCAGGTGTGAGTGGTGAGGACCAGTCTTGGGATGATTTTTCCTGTTGCTTCTGTTGTTGCCAGATAGTTAAAGGCTTAAAGATAAAATCAAGCCTGGACGTGGTAGCTTACACCTGTAACCCCAGCTCTTTGGGAGGCCAGTTGGGCCCAGATGGCTGCAGTGAGCTGAAATCATATCACTGCACTCCAGCCTGGGCGACAGAGTGAGACCCTGTCTCAAAAATATATATATATGCTCTGTCGCCCAGGCTCGAGTGCAGTGATGCAATCTCGGCTCACTGCAACCTCTGCCTCCTGGGTTCAAGCAATTCTCCTGTCACAGCCCCCCAAGTAGCTGGGATTACAGGTGTCCACCACCACGCCAGGCTAATATTGTTTTTTTTTTTTGTTGTTTTTTTTTTTGAGACGGAATTTCGCTCTTGTTGCCCAGGCTGGAATGCAATGGCGCGATCTCGGCTCACCGCAACCTCCGCCTCCTGGGTTCAGGCAATTCTCCTGCCTCAGCCTCCTGAGTAGCTGGGATTACAGGCACCCGCCACCATGCCCAGCTAATTTTTTGTATTTTTAGTAGAGACGGGGTTTCACCATGTTGACCAGGATGGTCTCGATCTCTTGACCTCGTGATCCACCCGCCTCGGCCTCCCAAAGTGCTGGGATTACAGGCTTGAGCCACCGCGCCCGGCCCTAATATTGGTATTTTTAGTAGAAATGTGGGTTCACCATGTTGGCCATGGCTGGTCTTGAACCCCTGACCTCAGGTGATCTTCCTGCCTCAGCTTCCCAATGTTGCTGGTATTACAGGCGTGAGCCACCACACCTGGCCTGTGTTTTGTTTTATGAGACAAGTTCTCATTCTGTTGCTCAAGCTGGAGTGCAGTGGCAAGATCATAGCTCACTGCAGCCTCGACTTCCTGGACTCAAGTGGTCCTCCTGACTCAGCCTCCCAAAGCACTGGGATTACAGGCGTGAGCCACTGCACTGGCTGCACCTTTGGTTTTTACATGCTAACAATTTTTGTGCCCCCCTAGATTTTTGCTGGGAGAGGGGAAGGGCCATGATTTGTATTCAGAATATGTTGGTTTTTCACTCTTTTACTTGTTTATTTATTTGAATCTTAGGTATTATTGCTGAGTCTTAGCTACCCTTGCATGCTATGTGCTGTACGTCACAGCAGCAATTTGGGAACAGCACACACTGAGTGATGTGGGGTTGGTTAACTGACCCGACTCTGTGCTGTCAGGGGCTAGTCCCGCAGCTGAAACAAGCTGCATAGATATATCCACCAACACAGATAGATGTGTGTTTTTTGTGTTTTGGGGTTTTTCTTTTGAGATAGAGTCTTGCTCTGGCTGGAGTGCAGTGAAGCGATCTCCGCTCACTGCAGTCTCCACGTCCTGGGCTCAAGTGATTCTCCTGCCAAGTAGCTGGGATGACAGGCTCGCGTCACCACACCCAGCTACCTTTTTGCATTTTTAGTAGAGACGGGGTTTCACCATGTTGGCCAATCTGGTCTCGAACTCCTGGCCTCCAGTGATCTGCCCATCTGGGCCTCCCAAAGTGCTGGGATTACAGGCGTGAGCCACTGCACCCAGCCTTTTCTTTTTTGTATTTTTAGTAGAGACGGGGTTTCACCATGTAGGCCAGGCTGGTCTCAAACTCCTGGCCTCAGGTGATCCGCCCGCCTCAGCCTCCCAGAGTGCTGGGGTTACAGGCGTGAGCCACCGCGCCCGGCCGGCCTAGATAAATGTTTATGATACACTGTTCCGTGACTGAAGCAGATCACAAACTGGTGAAAGTATCATGAGGCCTTTTCAGTTTTGCTTTTTATTGATGTGAAATTCATATCACATGAAGCTAACCTTTTAAAGAATGTAATCCAGTGGCGTTTAGTTATTGATCACATTGTCCGACCATCGCTCCTCCCCAACCCCTGGTAACAGGCCCGACGTCCCGTGGCCGTGGTCTGTCAGTTCCCAGCATTTCCCCTGCAGGAAGTGGAATCACACAACCTGCCGCCTTTGTGTCTGGCTCCTTTCCCTTAGCACAATGTTTGCGAGGTTCTTTTACATCGTAGCAGGAATCAGTGCTTCAGTCGTTTTCATGGCTGCATAATACTCCATTGTATGGACGTTCCACAGTTTATCCATTGGTCTCTGATGGACGTTTGCTCTGTTTCCAATATTTGTCTATTGTGAATTGTGCTGCTGTGAACATTTGTATACAAGTATTTGAACACCCGTTTTCAATTCTTTTGAACACATGCCCGGAAGTGGAATTGCTGAGTTACTCGATAATTCTATGTCTGACGTTTTGAGAATCACAGTGGCCAAACTATTTTACATTCCCAACAGCAGTGTGTGTGCCAGGATTCCAACTTCTCCGTGTATTCATTCACCAACACTTGTTACTGTCCTTTATTTTTTTTCTTTCTTTATTTTTTTTTTTGAGATGGAGTTTCGCTCTTGTTACCCAGGCTGGAGTGCAATGGCGCGATCTCGGCTCACAGCAACCTCCGCCTCCTGGGTTCAAGCAATTCTCCTGCCTCAGCCTCCTGAGTTGCTGGGATTATAGGCACGCGCCACCATGCCCAGCTAACGTTTTGTATTTTCAGTAGAGACGGGGTTTCACCATGTTGACCAGGATGATCTTGATCTCTTGACCTCGTGAGCCACCCGCCTCGGCCTCCCAAAGTGCTGGGATTACAGGCGTGAGCCACCGCGCCCGGCCTACTGTCCTTTATTTTTATCTTAGACTATTTTTTGAGACAGTCTCGCTCTGTCGCCGAGGCTGGAGGGCAGTGGCGTGATCTCGGCTCACTGCAATCTCCGCCTCCCGGGTTCAAGAGATTCTCCCGCCTCAGCCTCCCGAGTAGCTGGCATTACAGGGGCCCTCCGCCACACCCGGCTTGTTTGTGTATTTTTAGTAGAGATGGGGTTTCTACTAAAAGCGTTGGCCAGGCTGGTCTGCAACGCCTGACCTCAGGTGGTATGTCTTCCTCAGCCTCCCAAAATGCCGGATGACAGGTCCAGTGAGCCACCGCGTCTGGCCTGTCCTTTATTTTCATTATTACAGTCACGCTAATCGGAATCAGCTTCTCATTGCAGGGGTTTGATCTGCATTTCCCCATGAATAATGATGCCGGCCTCCTTCCCGTGGTAGGCAGCCATTTCTGCGTCACTGGAGAAATGTCTATTGAAGTCTTTTGCCCATTTTCAAATTGAGTTGTAAGAGTTCTTTGTACACCCTGGATGCTGCCCCTCATCAGAGAGATAATTGGAAAATACGTCTTCGCATTCTGTGGATTGTCTTTTCACTTTCTCAGTAAGGCCCCAGAATTCATTTTTGTAGAAAATAAAAGATACGTCTCTTCTATTAAAAAACAACATGAGGCCTTGGCGTGGCGGCTCAGGCCTGTCATCCCCGCACTTTCGGGGCCAAGGCAGGTGGATCGCTTGAGCCCAGGAGTTCAAGACCATCTTGGGCAACATGGAGAGACTCCATCTCTACTAAAAGCACAAAAAATTAGCTGGTGCACCGCTGTGGTCCCAGTTACTGGGGAGGCTGAAGTGAGAGGATCGCTTTGGCCAGGAGGTGCAGGCTGCAGTGAGTGAGCTGAGATCGTGCCACTGCACTCCAGCCTGGGCGACAGAGTGAGACCCTGTCTCAAAAAAACCAAAAACAACAACAAAAAACACCCATCTGAGCAGATATTGCCCTAAACCAAGTGAGGTTATCTCTGGGTAGTTTGGACGGTCACCGTTTCGTTTCCAAGTTTACCAATCTTGCAAACTGGTAGATGGAAGATGAAAACTGCCAATCATTAGTTCATGTGAGGATGACTCACTGCACCTTGTGAAGGACTTGGGATGCTGGATACGCAGGTGTTTCCGGGGCGCCGGGTGGGGGCGGGGACGCCGGCCGCTGTCCTGAGTCCGTCCCCGACCCTGCCCTGGAGACCCCGCCCACCCTGCTTCTGCTCTTCGGTCTTTCCGTCGTTCTGTTTTGTTTCTTCTCCTCGCTCTGGGGCTGGCCTTGGGAAAAGGAAACTGAAACCGAAGCGGAATTTGGCCAGTCGGCGCAGGCTCACCCGGCCCGCCCCCTGACGCGCGCGGCTCAGGCTGATAAAAGGGCCGGCCGGGCCGCGGGAGCCGGGCGCGTTCGTCTGCACCACACCGGAGCTGGGCGCGTGCGTCTGCACCACACCGGAGCTGGGCGCGTGCGTCTGCACCACACCGGAGCTGGGCGCGTGCGTCTTCACCACACCGGAGCTGGGCGCGTGCGTCTTCACCACACCGGAGCTGGGCGCGTGCGTCTTCGCCCGACGGGAGCTGGGCGCGTGCGTCTTTTTGCCGTACGGGAGCTTGTGCCACAGCCACAGCCATGGTAAGGCAGAGATGCCACAGGTGGGGGCAGGTGTCTCCCGGGGGTGCAGGGCGAGGGAAGCTGCTGAGTGGTCAGCCGGGTGACCTGAGCAGTGCTCCTGAAAGCGGGTCACTCCTGAGAGTGTGGGGAGGGGCGCGGCGCACAGAGGGGCGCCCTGGCAGGTAAGGGGAGGCCACAGGGTGGCTGTGGGCAGCTGGCCTTCTAGCAGTGACCCCTCAGGGCCTTCCGTGCCCGGGGTCCCTGCTGACAGCGTGTGGAGGACGGGCCGGTGTCCCCGGGCACAGGTGCTCGCGCAGCCCCATGTGTGGTGGGCCTGGGGCTGGTGCGGGTCTCTGAGCCTGTGTGATTCCTGCAGGGCTGGGACCTGACGGTGAAGATGCTGGCGGGCCAGGAGTTCCAGGTGACCCTGAGCAACTCCATGTCGCTGTCAGAGCTGAAGGCAAAGATCACCCAGAAGACCGGCGTGCAGGCCTTCCAGCAGCGTCTGGCCGTCCACCCGAGTGGCACAGCACTGCAGGACAGGGTCCCCCTTGCCCGCCAGGGCCTGGGCCCCGGCAGCACTGTCCTGCTGGTGGTGGACAGCTGTCGTGACCCCCTGAGCATCCTGGTGAGGAATGACAAGGGCCGCAGCAGCACCTACGAGGTGGTTCTGACGCAGACCGTGGCACAGCTGAAGCGGCAGGTGAGCCAGCAGGAGGGCGTGCAGGAAGATCTGTTCTGGCTGACCTTCGAGGGGAAGCCCATGGAGGACCAGCTCCCGCTGGGGGAGTATGACCTCCAGCCCCTGTGCACCGTGTACATGAATCTTCGCCTGCGGGGAGGCAGCGCAGAGCCTGGCGGGCCGAGCAGAGGGCCTCACGCCAGCATCTGAGCAGGATCACCTGCTGGAAATAAAGGTTGCTGCAAAGAGAAAGGGCTGCCTCTGTGTCTGTGCGTGCCGCGCCTCCAGGGCCCACCTCTGACCCCTGTTGATGGGGCTGGGGAGGAGTCAGGAGGGAGAACCCAGGGTACAAGGCCAGGCCTGCGCTGCCAAGTGAAGGGATGAGGGTTTGCAGTTAACGGCCTCAAGGGACCAAAATAGGGACCCCCCAGAACTGAAGTAAGTCAGATCTTCCCACCCTTTGGGAGATTATCTTCTCGAGAAAGAAAAAGAGATGCATTTGCTGGAACCCACCTGGCCCTCCAGCGTCTGGGACAGCAGACGGCTTGCGCAGGGACCAGCCTGCTCAGATCAAAAGGCTACCGGGGAAGCTCCTGGAAGCAGTTTGGGGTGATTCCTCGGGGCCTACTCAGTGGGCCGCGAGGCAGGCTCTGCACAGGAAAGGGGGCTGGGGGCCTCATTTGTCCCTAGGCAGCCCGCACAGCCTGCTCCACCTGCCTGGGCTGGGCTAGGGAAGGGTAGCGACAGTTTGAGCACTCACATCACCACTGTGGCCAGTGGCAGAAGAGCAGAAGACAGCCTGGGTGGCCCCGAGCACACCCTTGAGGGCTCTGCGTGAGGGAGGGGCTGTGGCCAGCAGTGCGGGGCACCTGGAATTGAGGCTGACGCGCTTGTCCCAGGTGGGGGACCCAAGTCAGTACGAGCTACACCCCCCTCCCCACTGATGTGCCCTTCCCTGTCTCTCGGTTCCAGTTTGCTAAATGAGTCCCCCCAGACGCCAGCTATCCAGCAGACACTTCGAGGACAGGGCGTGGTGGGACACACAGATTGGGGCACTTGGGCCTCAGCTTTAGGAGCCCTGGGGGGGATCTGGCTGGAGACATGGAGCCCTCCGTGGTCTGTGGGGTCCATATCTGTGTGGGGGATCCCCATCCGGCTGCACCAAGACCACTGTGTGCCCAGCAGGGGCTGTCCCAGCTCCAGCCTTGTTTCTGGTCCCCACCTCACACCTTTGTCACAATAGGGCCGTGAAGCTGGGCCAGGAGTCTCTCCTCAGCCCCCCACAGGGTCAGGGCAGGGCAGGATCTCCTTCATACTCTGCCCCAGAGATCAGTAGCTAGCTTGGGGTGAGGGTGTGCACCACAGACCCAGTCCTTTTTTTTTTTTTTTTTTTTTTTTTTTTAGACGGAGTCTTGCTCTGTTGTGCAGGCTAGAGAGCAGTGGCAGGATCTCGGCTCACTACAACCTCTGCCTCCCAGGTTCAAGCGATTCTCCTGCCTCAGCCTCCTGGTGCTTGCCACCATGCCCAGCTAATTTTTTGTTTTGTTTTATATTTTTAGTAGACACGGTTTCGCTGTGTTGGCCAGGCTGGTCTCGAGTTCCTAATCTCAAGATCTGCCCTCCTCGGCCTCTCAAAGTGCTGCGATTACAAGTGTGTGCCACCTTGCCTGGCCTAATTTTTGTATTTTTAGTAGGGACAGGGATTTTACCATCCTGGCCAGGCTGGTCTTGAACTCCTGGTCTCAAGCGATCTGTGTGCCTCAGCCTCCCAAAGTGCTGGGATTACAGCTGGGATTAAACCACTGCACACGGCTGACCCAGTCCTTTAAAAATAAATACAGGCCACATGCAGTGGCTCATGCCTGTAATCCCAGCACTTTGAGAAACTGAGGTGAGTGGATCATGAGATCAGGAGTCGAGACCAGCCTGGCCAAGATGGTGAAACCCCGTCTCTACTAAAAATACAAAAATTAGCCAGGCATGGTGGTGGGCACCTGTAATCCCAGCTACTCAGGAGTCTGAGGCAAGAGAATCGCTTGAACCCAGGAGGTGGAGGTTGCAGTGAGCCAAGATCGTGCCACTGCACTCCAGCCTGGGCAACACAACCAGACTCTGTCTCAAAAAAAACAAAAAAATCACTTGCTAAAAGCAGGGTCATACTCTTCGCTAGGCTGGAGTGCAGTGGTAAAACCACCCTCACTGCAGCCTCCCCCTCCCACACTCCAGCGATCCTCCCGCCTCAGCCTCCTGAGCAGCTGGGACCACAGGTGGGCGCCACCACGTCCAGTTAATTTTTAATTCTGTTTGAGAGACGGGGGTCTTGCTATGTTGCCCAGGCTGGTCTCGAACACCTGGGCTCAAGCGATCCTCCCGCCTCCACCTCCCAAGTGCTGGGATGACAGGCGTGAGTCACGACGCCCGGCCTAGACTCAGTTCTGAGGGGACAAAGGGGGCCTCCGCTACGCCCTCGAATTCCGCTGGGCCCGGCTCTCAGGCCCTCCAGCCGCGTTTCCCTGCACCCAGCCCGGCCAAGCTGCCGCGGCGCGCGGCCCGTAGGGGAGGGGGCGTGGCGGGACCCGCGCTTGCAGACGCGGAACGGCAGGGGGCGCGCACCTCCCCGCGGCGGGGCCGGGAGGGCGGGGCCGCGCACCCTGCTGGCCAATCAGCGTCCGCCCTGGCGCCGGGACCCGCCCCCCCCCCGCCGCTGCCCCCGGGGTCCCGGCGCGGCCCAGCCTCGGTCCCGCGGGGGAGGGGCGCGGCCTGCGGGGCGGGATCGGGGCCGGGGCGGGGGCTCCTCCCGGCGGCCCGCCCGAAGCCCCTCGGCAGTCCGGTCACGTCTCCTCCAGATTAGGCATTAACTCGGGTGCAGCCGCACTTCCGGGGGGCCGCGGCGGGGGGGGCGCCGGCGGGAGCCGGCCCCCCAACTCCTTCCCCGCCCCCTCCCGGGCCGCCCCTCCCCGCCCCACGGCCTCGCCGGGCGCCGCGTCCCAGGGCTTTGTTCGCAGCCAGCGCGGGTCGCAGGGCGCGGGGCGGGCCGGGGAGGAGGAGGGGAGGGGAGGGGAGGGGAGAGGAGAAGGGAGGAGGAGGGGAGGGGAGGGGAGGGGAGGGGAGGGGAGGGGAGGGGAGGGGAGGGGCGCTCCCGGGCCCCGCCCCCGCCCCCGCCTCCGCCCCCCGCCTCCGCCCTCCGCCGCCGCCTCCGGAGCCGCGTCCCGTCCTGTCCAGTCCCGTCCCCGGCGCGGCCCGCGCGCTCCTCGCCGCCTCCCCTGCGCCATGGCCGGCCCCGGCCCGTCCCGCCCGGGCCCGCTGCGGCCGCTGCTGCCGCTGCTCCTGGTGGTGGCCGCGCGCGTCCTGCCCGGCGCCGGCGGGACGTGCCCGGAGCGCGCGCTGGAGCGGCGGGAGGAGGAGGCGAACGTGGTGCTCACGGGCACGGTGGAGGAGATCCTGAACGTGGACCCGGTGCAGCACACCTACTCCTGCAAGGTGCGCCCCGCGACGCCGCTTTCCCGCCCGGACCGCGCCCCGGGCCGTGGGAACCGGCGCGGCCGCCGCGCAGCCCCGACTCCGCTCCCTTGACGACCGCCAAGCCCGGGGGAGGGGGCGGGGGCGCCGGGAAAGTTGCTGCGGGTCCCGCCCGCGCCTCCACCGCAGCCCCCCCCCCCGACCGCGGAAACAAGTGCACCTCGCCCGGGACTGCGGCTGCCGCGCGCCCCCCACCCCCGCCGCGGAGAACCGGAGGGACCTGGGGGGGCCTTCGCCCCGTGGGGAGCTGGGTGGGCCTGAGCCCGCTGGTCGCCTCCCGAGACGCCTTTCCCCGGGCGAGAGGGGGTGGTCAGGAGAGAAAACGGGGCGCGCGGCCTGAGCTCCCGACCCCAGGAGCCGGGCGGGGGGTGCCGCATTGTGGGGGGGGCAGGAGCCGAGAAGTGGGCGGGGCCGTCGCCGGGCCTCGTGTGCTGGGGGCAGGGCCGGTGCCCCGTCGCGCTCTTGCGGGAACCGGAGCTCCCCCAGCCCGGGAAGTTTGCCCTGCGTCTCCCTCAGGTGCCTCTGGGGGCCCCCCACCATCTTCTCCTAGCAGGGGCCCGGGAGACCCAGAGCCGGCTCCCCTGTACCCCCCCAAACCAACTCCTGGGACCAGAAATGAGCTTGCTTCCCCTCCACGGAGGTGGAGAAGGCGGCAGCCTCTTTAACGCCGGCCGGTGCGGGCTACGGCTGGGCTCCCCCGCCGGCCCCGTCTCCTCCACAGCGGCCAGGGCACTTTGCCAGGTCCCTGCAGGATTTTCCCGACTTCCTCCCCGCTGCTCCTGGGTGTGGCTGGGGTGGGGGAAGGCGATGAAAGCCACCAGACCCTCCCCCTGCTGGGTGATCTGCCTCCTGAAGCTACTGTTGGGGGGGCGGGGTTGGAAGCGGCTCTGCCCGGGCGCTGGAGGGGTCCCTGCAGATGCGGCAGTCCTGAGGCTCCCCGCGGGGCTGCGCAGTGGACAGGCCAGCCATTGTCTCACCCCATCCTGCAGCCCCAGCCTCGCAGAGCTCCTGAAGGGGGCTTCTCCCGTCTCCGTTTTCAAGGGGTGCCTGGGTCCCTGTTCCTGCGAGGGCCCCCAGGCCTGCTGCTGGCTCACCACAGGCCACCGTTAGAGCAGCTGAAAAGGTGGAGGGTGGGGCGCCCTGTGCTGCCCAAACTTGATTCCGTGGTTCTGGGGCTGCCCTGACGGCACAGAGCAGGAGCCCAGAAAAGGGGCTCTCCCTTCCCGAGAGCAGAGCCACCAGGAGCCATGCTGCCCCCTTACCCTGAACCTGAGTCCTCCACGGCCACTGCCCAGGATTGCCGGGAGGTGGGCTCTGAGCGGTGGGCAGGTGGGGAGGGGATGGGAGGCAGGCACCCGGGGCCAGGTGGGCCCCCTTCCCCAGTCCAGCCTCAGCTAAGAGGGACGTTATTGGAGCTGGGGTGGCTGAAGTTGGTTAGACCTGGGATGGGAGCTGCTTCCCGGAGGGGCGATGTGTTCACAGGCGGCGCACCCCCTAAGCGTTCCTGCGTGGGCTGTGGCCGCCATGGGTGTGCCTACCCAGCCTCTACCCAGCGGGGTTAACCAGAGGTCTCCCCACATCTCTGCGCAGGGCTTGAATCTACTGTGGACATTGTACTGAGCAGCTGAAGCCCCCGTCTAGCCCCCTCCCCAGGCAAGGACTAATGACACCTACCCCCATGTCCACCCCAGGTCCGGGTCTGGAGGTACTTGAAGGGCAAAGACCTGGTGGCCCGGGAGAGCCTGCTGGACGGCGGCAACAAGGTGGTGATCAGCGGCTTTGGAGACCCCCTCATCTGTGACAACCAGGTGTCCACTGGGGACACCCGGATCTTCTTCGTGAACCCCGCACCCCCGTACCTGTGGCCGGCTCACAAGAACGAACTGATGCTCAACTCCAGTCTCATGCGCATTACTCTGCGGAACCTGGAGGAGGTGGAATTCTGTGTGGAAGGTTCGTGATGGAGGGCTCGTGTGGGGGCCGATGGGGGTCAGGCTGGTGGCCAAGGTGGGCAGGCTGCGGGGGTCGCTGGAGGGGTCCTCTCGTGCCCTGCTGCAGCACCCGGCGTCTTGTGGTCTGATCCGTGGTCTGACTGTGATCTAACCTCGTTCTCCGCTAGCTTCTCCTCCCTGCCTCCCGGCTACACCTCCAGCCGTTGGAGGTTAGACATCTTTGGCCCTGTGGCGGAAGGCAAGTCCCAGCCCTGCAAGGGTTGGCCTCCTGCCTCCTCCCCGGCTCTCCACACTTCCTCCTCGAGGCCCCTTCTAGGGAGAAGCTGGACAGGTGAATGTCACCAGCTGTTAAGTTCCTGTGTTAGCCCAGACATCCATTTAGAGGGGCCCGCACCTTGAGCACCCCACACCTTGAGCACCCCACACCGTGGGGGTAGGGTGGGACAGCGGCTGCAAGGTGAGGGCTTCTGTGAATTTGGATGGTGCGAAATTCGCCCCTGAGAGGTCTTCCTGCTCGAAGTTCCCAAGTCTCTGCTGAACGGCCTGAGAGTGGCCCTAACCCTGACCCCAGTGGGGGTGGGGGCAGGGGGAGCAGAAGTCCCATGACAGTCCCGGGACGAGCCCTGGTTGGGGGCTGAGGTCCTTGGCTGGGGAATGTGGCAGGGAAAACATAGGAGGTCCCTGTCGCCCCCACATCCTGTCTGCTCCCTCATGGCTGCCTGGGAAGGGATGTCGGTGGGGGGCCCGGGGAATGCTTCCTCCCCAGGCCACGGCGAGGGTCCTGACTTCCTGTCCCTCCGATCTGCTCTGCTGGGCAGCAGGGAAGTGCTGGCTTCTGTCTACTTTGCTGCCCTGACGCTGGCCTGGCTCTTGTGGGGTCCTTGCGGGGTCCTGGACTGACCACTGCTCTGGCCTCCCTGTCTCTGTACTTGCCAGGGCGGGGGTGGGGAGGGGGGCTGTGCAGGGGGAGGGGCAGCGCCCAAAGCAGCCAGCACTGCGGCCTCTCGCCTAGCCAGTGGTCAGCAGCGCCCATGCTGTCTTCAGGGTCCAGGGTCCAAATGCAGCACAGAGGAGGGTCCCTGGGTCCCTCCCCAACCCAGCCTCCACGGGAGGGATGCGATACCTTAGCCGTCTTCGGGGTCCTTGTAGTCCGGGAAAAGATGTGGCTTTACAGAGCCAGGACTGGCTGTGGGGCGCTGATGTCGCGCTGATGTAGGGAGCTGAGGAGGGGCTGGAGGAGGAGGTTGGCGTGAGGACAGCTGCTGTCTCTGCAGGATCATTAACCCACAGCCAGGCAGGTCCAGCTCGAGGGTCTGTGACTCAGGAACTGAGGAGTTGCTGTGGGGTCAGAGGGCGCGTGGCAGGAGAGCCACCCCGGCACTCCTGCCAAAGCCAGTCTACGCATGCCAGGCCTGGCTCTGGAGTGAGTGCCCAGGCTGAGCCCAGCACGAGGAGGAGGGTCGGTGGCTTCGCCTCTGGGAGGGAAGCAGCATGAGCAGGGCCCCTGGAAGGTGCCCAGGAGCCCAGGAGCTTCCCATGGGACAGGTGGGCCTCTGCTCTGGAAGCCGGCCAGCCATGTCTGCAGGGGCTGGGCGCACAGGTGCCAGGATGGGGAAAATGCCTCCCAGAAGCCTGGGTGAGCCCCGAGGCACAAGGTCCCTGGAGCCGGCCTGGCTGGAGAAGGGACGGTCCTGTGTGCCCTCCCCTCCCCTCAGCTGTGGGAGATAAGGACATTGAAGCCCACCCTAGGCCCTCTGGGAGCCAAGGCCTCACCCTAGTGAGGGGATGGATGAAGGGGCCTTGTGCCTAGCTGGCCTCTCCCTATCTGACTCTAACCCCACCTCCCGGGGCACAGGGTGAAGTCTGGGTGGCCCCTCATCTTCGGAAGCCACTCCTGAGTCCACTAGTTGCCACCTGTTGTTTTTTTTTTTTGAGATGGAGTCTCGCTCTGTCACCCCGGCTGGAGGGTAATGGCACAATTGGCTCGTGGCAACCTCCGCCTCCTGGGTTCAAGCGATTCTCCTGTCACAGCCTCTTGAGTAGCTGGGATTATAGGCGTGCACCACCACGCCCGGCTCATTTTTGTATTTTTGGCAGAGACGGGTTTTACCATGTTGGTCAGGCTGGTCTCGAACTCCTGACCTCGTGATCTGCCCGTCTCGGCCTTCTAAAGTGCTGGGATTACAGGTGTGAGCCACCTCGCCCGGCTGGGCCCCACGTTTAATGGGGAACCCCCGTCCTGGAGCCAAAGGCCCTTCCGAGCTCTTAGGGTGGGGGAGGGCACGTCCTCCCAGGCCACGCCCCCACCAGGCCTGCCCACGCTGTGCAGGAGGCAAACCTGCTGCTGGGCCACACCTGGACCGACTCCACGGGGGACTTCCTTCCTCAGTTTCTCGCCTGGCTCTGCCCTGCCTGGTTTTCCTGGCCCTGCCCGTCTTCCTGGCCCTGCCCAGCCAGGGCCCCTCCCCCAGTCCACAGCCCCCAGGCTCCTCCCCCTCCTGCCTGGGGAGCCACATTCCTGGCATAACTAAGGCAGGTATGTGTCCCTCCCTCTGCGCCACCTTTGGGCAGGGGAGGAGGCCCGCTGCTCCCTCCGGAAGGAGACCCCCGCCCCTGCTTTTCGAGGGAACTGGCCTGGTCTCCGCAGTGCTAGCTGCCCAGGGCTGGCGGCTGAGCAGGCCACTCCTGCGGCCCTCACCACCCTGACCTGTCTGGACACTGAGCATGCACTCCCAGCCTACCTCACAAAGGCTGGTCGTAGAGCCCCCCTGATGCCTCCCAGGGACGCTGGCTGAGGGCCCTCCAGGCTGCCTGGGGCCCATCCCGCCCCAATAGGAGCCAGGAGCAGAGAAAGGAAGTGTTGTCTGCCCCTGCTGGGGCCTGGCACAGGGACAGGGCAGGGACCAGGGTCGGAGTGAGTCTGGCGTCTTCCCAGCCCGGCCTTGCCCAACTCTGAAGCCCAGGGTCCTGGCGGCCGGGTCCCAGCCCCGCCTGTATTCCGGCCTTCCCGCCCTCCCTTCCTCCCTGTCTGGCCAGCTGTCTAGGCCTCTGGACGGCAGTCCTGGGGGAAGCCCAGGGTCCCACGGCCCAGGGGGCAGCATCGGTGCTGGGGGTGAGGGGCTGGACAGCCCCAGACCAGGCTCCCCTCAGTGTGGGGAAGTCTAGGACATGGGTGAGGTTTCTGGGCTGCAGGCGGACCTCCCAGAGGGCTGGGCCCGTCCCCCTCTCCTGCCCAGGGCTCAGTTCCTGCCCCCAACTTCTCCACCTTCCTCTTGCACAGGGGGAGGGAGCTTCTCCGTTCCTGCCACCCTCTCCTGCCCCTTCTGACTCTAGGTTCTCATCCAGCCCCCGATCCCCCCAGCCCCACCCCATGGGCCTCTCTTAGGGTCTCCCACAGGCAGGCCTGGGCTGGAGGCTGCTGCCCCGTCTCCCTCCTGCAGCTGGGAGGGGTCTGCGGGATCGGGAGGGCCCACCTCTGTCTTCTGCCCGCTCAGGGGCTCCCAGTGGGAAGTTGGCTGGGTGCTTCCCCAGTGCATGAACCGACTTGTCTCGGCTTTGACTTCACCTGGGCTTGCCCCTGCCTCGCCACGGGCTCACTGGGGTGGCCCTGGGGTGGGCTTTGCCCGCTGAAAGCAAAGGGAGCTAGGTGCTGGGAGGGGTAGGGGAGCTTGATAGCTCGCTTCTGTGGGGATGGCCTCTGAAGGGCCAGGCTGAGCTGGTGGAAACTATACTAGGCTTTTTCCAGACCCCACCCCACCCCTCACTCCCCACCCAGAGAAAAGCCTGGCTCCATTCTCCCTGCAGACTGGAGGTGGAAAGCTGTTTTGGAGCTGGGTTCCCTCCCGCTTGTCCACACTGGCCACTCTGGTGGGGCCTCTGTGGGTGGCGGTGAGGATGGCACCTGCTGCAGCCTCCAGGCTGAGAGGGGAGAAGAGGTTTAGGGCGAGGACAGGCTCCTGTCCCCACAGTATCAGGAGAGGGAATCTGTAGCCCCACAGCCTGCAGAGAGCGGGAGGGACTGCTCAAGAGAAGGGGGGTGCCCATGCTTCAGGGCCACAGGTCCAGCCAGAGGTCATTCTGGCCAGGCCCATGCAGCTTCCTTCCTGAAGGGTTGACCTGCCCCCATCACCACAGGAGGGTGGAAAACAGCTGTCAGCTGCAGCAGCAGGCTGCCACCCCCTGTGGAACCCAGGTCCACAGCCCACTTCAGAGCTGGGGGTGGGGTGCCACGCTCCACCCCTCCAGTGGCCTGGGTGGGGCAGGAATGGACCCCCTTCCTGCACTCCTAGTTCTGGCATCCCCTCCCCATTTGGACTGGGCTCCCCAGGGCCGCCGAGGCCCAGCTGGACTGGGGCTGCAGACATAATCACGTGGTGGTCCCACCGCCTGAGGATTGACCCCCACTTGGGGTGCCTGCCCCTCACACATGAGAAGGAAGCTCAGGGCTGAAATGTCACCCCGTGACAGTCGCCAGCTGTGCTCCCGCACCCCCCGCCTGCTGCGCGGGCTACACTGGGGCTCCGGAGGAGTCCTGGGCACCCCCAGGCTGTGGCAAGATTGTGGCTGGGATCTGGGGGGGGGGGTGAAGCGGCTCTCTAATGTAGGTTCCAGCACAGAGGGAAGCCCCCCTGAAGGGGCCTCACCCCCCAGTGCAGATCCTGGGAACTTCCTCTGAGGAAGGCCCCCTGCCAGGGGCAGCTCACAGCGGGACCTGGGAAAGGGGAGATGGCTCCTCCCCGCCCCCTCCCCCTGCAGTCCCCCCACTGAGCAGAGGCGTGGGAGAAGGGGAGCTTTCTGTCCTACAGGCGGCCGGCTGTTTCCAGCTGTGTGGCCTGCATGTGTGTGTATGTGTTTGTATACACGTGTGTGTTTGTATGCACGTGTGTGCACATGCCTGCAGCCTCAGATGTACCAGCCCGTGCCCTTCAGAACTGTGGCTGGAGCCTCCGCCCATGGGCCATGGCTTCTGCCCCGTTTCCCTGGACTCAGCCCAGGCCGGTGCTGCAGGGGTGGGGCTGGTGGTGGGTGACCCTGTCCTGTCCTGGGGATCTCGTGGTGGGTGACCCTGTCCTGTCCTGGAGGATCTTGGAGCTGGATTCTAGCCTCTGACCTCCTGCACATGTGAGTCTCGCCTCAGTTTGCTGCTGGTTGCCCAGTCTCCTGCCCCCCACTCACTGCATCCAGCACTGCCCTGAGCCTGACAAAGGGCCCGGTACCTTCTGCAGGCGCTGCCTCTGGGATGCCCAATGTGGCTTCTGAATGTTTGCATGAGGACATTGGGGTCTCTTGGGGCTACAGTGAGGACAGGAGGGTCCTGGGTCACTGTACCCTCACATGGGGACCTCCAGACTGACACAGATGCCCACCCCTGCCCAGATGGGGCTCTGTCTGGGGGCAGCAGGGGAAGGGCGGGAGGGGGGTCTGTTGTCCACCTGAGCCACCCTGCCCTGCCCCTTGGCAGCCCGCCTTGGCCACCCTCACACCAAGCCCTAGGAGAAGCAGCCCCTGTGTATCTACAGATAGGAGGCACCCATGCAGCCCCACTGGAGAAGCCCTAGCCCTAGCACCCAGCCCACGGCACCCACGGCCCACGGTGCCCACAGCCCACAGCGCCCACGGCCCACGGCTCCCAGGCCCGCAGCGCCCATGGCCCACAGTGCTGGTGGGGAGGGGCCGTGCACCCACTTCTCTCCCAGGGGACGCCTGGGCGTGGACAGGGCTTGCCATGCACTTCACTGATGCGTTCATCGGTCCTGTCCCCATTCACACACTCACGGTTGGCCATGGATCCTCTTACGACCACCTCCACAGGGCTTCCCAAGGAAGCCAGGGGTGAGCTGTGCCTTGAGGGGTGAAGGTGAGTGCAGGGAACAGTGGTCCCTGTGGTTTGGGTGAGGGTGGGAGAGAGATGCTGTGGACGTGCAGCAGGGGAGACGGCTGGAGCGCAACCGCCGTGACCCCGCGGCCGATTCCTGCCTCGGAGGCCTCCCTGCTAGCCATCCCCTCTCGCGGCAGGAAGAGCTCCCCAGCCCCTGCTTGGCAGCCCCTGTAAGCACTGACTGCTCCATGGTAGCTGTTTCCCTTGACTGGGGGTGGGGGCACCAAGCGCGCTTGCTTAAACCAGGAGTCGGTGTCTGCTTCAGAGCCTGTATGCCTGCACGTGCAATGTGTGGCCGACGGCACCCACCCCCACCCCCACCCCCCCCTTTCCAAAGGAACTGAGCCACAGCCTGCCAATTGCCAGAGGGCCCCAGGGCTCCCACCTTTCCAGGCCACAACCCTCCCTCTGAGGGCAGGATAAGCCTGTGAGTGTGGGGGGAACATGCCTTCCGGTGTGTGGGTGGGGGTTGAGAGACACAATGTTACAGAGGTGTGTGAAACAGCCAGTGTCTATACAGGCAGGTGGAGGGGGACATCAGCGTCCATGCGGGCAGGTAGGGGGACATCAGCGTCCACACGGTCAGGTGGAGGGGGACGTCAGCGTGTACGCGGGCAGGTGGAAGGGACGTCAGCGTCTACGCGGGCAGGTGGGGACATCAGCGTGTACGCGGGCAGGTGGAGGGGGACATCAGCGTGTACGCGGGCAGGTGGAGGGGGCGTCAGCGTGTACGCGGGCAGGTGGAGGGGGATGTCAGCATCTACGCGGGCAGGTGTGGGGACGTCGGTGTACGCGAGCAGGTGGAGGGGGGCGTCAGCGTGTACGTGGGCAGGTGTGGGGACGTCAGTGTACATGGGCAGGTGGAGGGGGACATCAGCGTCCACAAGGGCAGGTGTGGGGACATCAGCGTCCACGCAGGCAGGTGGAGGGGACATCGGCGTGAACGCGGGCAGGTGTGAGGACATCAGCATCTACGCGGGCAGGTGGAGGGGGCGTCGGCGTGTACGCGGGCAGGTGGAGGGGGACGTCAGTGTGTACGCGGGCAGGTGGAGGGGGCGTCAGCCTGTAGGCGGGCAGGTGTGGGGACGTCAGTGTCTACGCGGCAGGTGGTGTGGGGACATCAGTGGCTATGCCGGCAGGTGGTGGGGGGGTGCATGTCTGACACCTGGTGACTGTGGGTATAGCTGTGAGTGTACGCATAGCAGCTGATACTACGGCTACACCTAGGCTGGGTGGGAGGGGATGCTGGGACTGGGGCTGGGACTGGGGCCCCAATGGGGCTGGGCGGGGTTCCAGGGGTGGGGCGTCGGGGAGCAGGGTGGTGCTGGGCAGGCCTGGGGCACCTATTTTGTGGCGGTGTGTGCGCAGCGCAAGGTGCTGTGAGTGTGAGCTCAGAGACCAGGGGGCTCATGCCTGGCTCAGAGTGCCCTGCACTTTCCCACGCATGAGCCTGGTGGGCTGGTGAGGGCTGAATGATTTTTTCTTGAAGATCCTAAAATAGCTCAAGTCGCCTGAGCTCCCCTCCCTGGCTGGGCCTGGGGCCTCAATGGCCCTTTGTCTTTCTGAAGGCATCTGAGCCTCTGTGGGGGGCTCAGACACTGACTGGGGCTGGGTGGAGCCAGGCTGCCTGCGTGGTCCCCCTTCCCCCTGGCTCAGCCCAAGAGGCCCTAAGCCTGATTCCAGTGTCGGCCTCAGCCCAGGCTCACCAGGCCCACCATGTGACTTTCAGCCTGTTGGACCCCCTTGGCTGGCAGATCCCATGGTCTCTCTGTGTGGGGGCAAACTCCCCAGGCAGTGTTTGAGGCCCCCTCCACCAGCCCATACCTGGGGCTCCCCCACCCCTTCCACGTCCTGGTACCTGCATTACTTCCTCCTGCAGAGCCCCCAAGAGATCCCATGGCTGGAGGTGGTGGCAGCAGGCAGGTTGGCACGTGACCTGGTAGCACAGCCTGGGTTTTGACCCTGGCACCGCCCCTGGGACTCTGAGCTGGGAGGTGAGAAATGCAGTGCGTGTGAGCTGCCAGAGCTGTGCACAGCAAGTCCTGTTCTGGGTTTTCCCGTCCCTGGGCCACACCCTACGCTGGGGAGATAAAAAGTCCCTGCCCGAGGTGCCCACGGTCAGTGCCGCTGGAACACTCCGCCTGGCATGGACAGTGCCAAGGTCCAGCGGGGCGGAGTGGATGGGATGGGAGCTGCCCTGAGAGGGTGAGGCCAGCAGGGGTGGGTCTCCAAGTGGTTCCTTTGACAGCTCCTGTGGATGGGACGTGGTTTGGGGTGCGGGAGACCCCTTGGCTGCGTTTGGATTTTCCTGCAAGGTTTCACTGGAACACCAGATTCCATGGCCATAGAGATGTGGAGGCTTCCAGTGTGGGTGATGGGACGTGGGCTGGACGCCTGGTTGGTGGGATTTGGGCGGGGCTCTTGGAGGAGGCTCAGCGGGAAGGTGAGACCCAGCACCCGGAGGCGAGGAGGCTGTGGGGGTCGAGGGGCCCACAGACGCGGCTGGGGGACTTCAGGAAGGCGGGTGGGGGCAGTGGGTCCTCCGGGTGGACTGAGGTGAGGCCTGGGTGTGACCACGTGGAGGCACCGGTGGCTGCCGGCAGCTGTCGTCTGCAGCGTGGGTGAGGCCATGTGGCAGACGGCTTGGTCCGCGGTGCCGGGGGGACTGGCGTAGCAGAAGCGCCCTGGCGCCAGGTCCTTGCTTTCCTGGAGCTGGGGCTTGGGGGACGGGGGTAGGTAATTGCAGGGGCTTCTTCCAAAGGCTGCGGGTAGTTAGGGGTGTGGAGGGCCGAGGTGCATCGTGGAGGCCTGGCGTGGACCGTGGAGATGGTGCGCACACCGGACCAGATGGGCCCCTCGTTGACCCCCGGATTCCCCTGCTGGGCAGCGGCCGGGGAAAGGGGCGACCTACGGGGGCTGCTGTGGGGAAGGGACTCCGCGACGCGGGTCCTCGCTGGGCCGAGTCCCCACCCCCACCCGGGGCCGCAGTGACGTCAGGGCCCAGCCGTTCCCGGAGCCGCCTCTGGGGGGCGCTCCAGACCCGCAGGGAGGCGCCGCCGCTATTTGCATGGGGCTCATTTGCATGGCCCCGCCCCGCGCGGGAAGGGGGGCCGCGGGCGACAGGAGGTGCCGCCGTCAATTCCCAGGGGAGCGTGGGCCGCTCACCTCACCCCACCCCGCAGCGTGCGCCCCACCTGGGGCCTCCCCCAAATACGCCCCGCCAGGGTGGGGCCGCGGGCGCACACTCGGGCACACGCACGACGCGCACACGCGAGCGCACGCCGCCCGCCCGAGCCCCCGGCGGCGACTCCGATTCACCCCAGCGGGCGCGGGGCGCGGACCCGCCCTGCCCAGCTCCTGCTCGCCCGGCGCATCCTCCTCCCGACCTGCCCCGGCCGCCCCCGCCTCCACTCCAGCAGGAGACCCTGCCCGGCGCGACCCCTGCTCCCCCGGCCCAGCCCCGCCGCCGACTCAGTCCCGGTTGAGCGCCCCCAGCCCCATCCCCGGCCCAGCCCCAGCACCCCTAGCCCGAGTCCCAGCCCCAGCGCCCCCATCTCCATCCCCATCCCCAGCCCCATCCCCGGCCCCGCCCCAGCCCCAGCCCCAGCACCCCTAGCCCGAGTCCCATCTCCTGCCCAGTCCCAGCCCCAGCGCCCCCAGCTCCGTCGCCGCCCTCGCCTGCCCTGCGTTGCCTTTTGTGCCGCGCTCTCCCGTCCGCGTCCGCGCGATCCTCTGCGACTCCCCGTGGACGCCGGGGTCCCCGGAGGCGGCTTCCTTTGTCTCTGCTCCCGCCCTCCCTCCGCGGCGCCCTCGCCCCTCACTCGCCTCCCTGGCCGGGCCAGGGGAGCTGGCGCTGCTCGCCCAGTGGCGGGAGCCTGGGAGCCGGCGCGGCCTCCGCAGGCGGCGCTTTCTCCTCGCTCCTGACGCGGCCGCCCCTCCTGCCTGCGCGCTGCCTTCGCCGCTCCCGCCTCTACCGGGGACAGGAGCTGCCCGGACCTGGGCGCCGGGACCCCGCGCACCTGCCTGCCGCGCGCACCGCGTCTCCAGCCGGCGGGCTCCGGGGAGGGCGGCCGGCCCGGCGGACGTGGGGGCAGCAGCGGAGGCCGCGGGCTCCCAGTCTCTTCTCCTCCTGCTCTGAGCCCACGTTTGGGATTTCGACTCCGAGAGAACCCTGCACTCCTCCCACGATGAGCCTGCAGGGCTGGCGCAGGGACCTGGCGTACCCAGGGCTGTGCCTGGGTGAACTCTGAGAGCACAGCTGCTGTTGCTGCCCCAGGGGTCCCAGGATGGGGCGAGCAGCCCTGAAGAGGCCTAAGGGCACCCCGTGAGGAGCCCCCGCGCTCAGAGCGGGGTGCAGAGCTGGAGCCCCGGGCCATGCCTCCACTGCCGCTGGCGCGGGACACCCGGCAGCCGCCTGGCGCGTCCCTGCTGGTGCGGGGCTTCATGGTCCCCTGCAACGCCTGCCTGATCCTGCTGGCCACCGCCACCCTGGGCTTCGCGGTGCTGCTGTTCCTCAACAACTGTAGGTGGCCGCGGGCCGGGTCGCTGCACTGGCCAAGCCCCAACCCCGGAGCCGGGCGCATAGGGCCTAGGGCCCGCGGCGGAACCCCAGGGGCTGCCCACAGCTTCCTGGTGATGGGATGGGTCACTGTCCAGACCCCTGGGACCCTGGAGGCCTGTCCTTGGGTCCCGGCCCTCACCCAAAGCTGCAGAAACTCTTTCTCCGACAGCTGGGGAGGGAGGGGCAGTTTCGCGTAGGGCAGGGCCTGCGGTGGACTCTTCGGAATCGGGATCTGCCTGCACCCCTGTGCCTGGGGCCCCGGCTGACAGAGGTCAGGCCATGACCATTTGGCTGGAGGGGCGGAGAAAAGCAAGGGTCTCTATCTGCATCCACCCCACGGCCTCAAGCAGCCCATGGGGTCAGGGTTGGACACTTCAGCATCCCTGCCTCCTGGCCTCGATCTCTGGGGTGCAGGAGGGGTGGGCAGGGGTGACCCCCTTTCCGTCCGGGCAGAGGGTTGGGACAGGGAAGGGCCTGCTCCGAGGGGGCCTAACTTGGAGATTTGTTTTCTTCCAGACAAACCTGGGACCCACTTTACCCCAGTGCCTCCGACGCCTCCTGATGGTGAGTGGGGCTGTCTGGGGACCTGGATGGGCCATGGCATGCTTGGGAGTCAGGGCCATTTGGGGGTGTGCACCCCAGATGTGTGAAGTGTGTCTGGAGTGGGGAGGAGGCTGGACAAGGGCACGTGGGCCTGTCCTGGGAGTCCACAGCGGGGGGCAGCAGACAGGGCTGGGGGTCTGGAGGTGGCTGCCCCTGAGCATGGCTCTCACTTCTCTGGGTCTTGGCCCCCTCAGCCTCAAAATTGGGAACCAGTCCTGGTACCCACAGGTTGTGAGGTGGTGTCTGCCCACGTGGGGCAGGGCCAGTCTAGTCAGAGGGCTCCTCTCCTTTGTCCTCCCTTCTCCCTGTTAAGCAAAGGGTGGGGCTGGACAGAGGCTGGAAGTGGACGGGAGCCCAGAGGGGAGGCTGGGCTGGGGGAGGGGCCTGGAGGCCAGTCTGTCCCTGGGACTCTGAAGGCTGTCGCGGGGAGCACAAGTGAGGGAGACGGCGGGCTGACCCTGTTAACCTGCTTTGTGAGAGGTGGGGCCTGTCTTCCTGGGGCGCTGCTGGTGTTTGGGCCGCTGTCATCAGGGTAGTGAGAGGGGGAGAGAGGGAGCGGTCAGCACCTAGAGGGAGCAGGGACGGGGGGACTGGCGCCTCCCTCCCCAAGACTGGGGTCCTCTCCAGCAGGCGGGGAAGGGGCACCCAGCTGTCCTCTCAGCACCTGCCCCTTCCCTGGGTCTTGTGTTCAGTCCCAAATGCGGGGCTGTCTGTTCGAGGGCTGTGCTGTGAGGCCTTCCTGACCAGGACATGGGGTGGGGAGGACAACCTGGGGAATCCTGGAGTGGCCTGAGGACAGGGCCTGAGCTGGATAGGTCATCTGGGCCACTCTCAGGTCTTGGGAGTGGGGGACGATGGCTGGAGGAGGTGGCTGTGGGCCTGGGCCTGGTGGGAGTGGGGCCTCCATTCCACTGTCCGCAGCTCTGTGCTGCCCACGTGTGCTGAGAGGTGGGGGCAGCTTGGGGTGCTCGGTGGTCTGAAGACAGGGTGGAGTCTTCCTGGGAGTGCGGAGTTTGGGCAGTTGGGAACCGGAGCTGGATTCAGGGTTGTGAGATGGAGGTGCCTGTGCCTCCTGGGCTGCCGCCCAGGCTGGGGTTGCCTACAGTCAACTGTCCTTCACTCCAGGAGCCTTGAGCCAGTGAGCGAGCAGCCTGTTCTCCCACGCGAGGCCACTCAGCTCCTGGTCCCAGGGAGTCCGGGCAGGGTCAGCTCTGGGCCTGGGGCGAGGAGCTGGGCAGTGGGAATGAGGGGCAGTGGCTGTGGGGAACCCGGCCTACCCCTGGGTTCTGGCCCTGCGACCTGTCTGTTGGCCTCCAGCCTCAGCCCCTGATGGCCCTCCAACTCCCCAGGCTGTTCCTGTGGGATCTCAAGGGCCCCTCAAGAGTGCCAGGCTCCTCTTGGACTGTGTGAAGGGCAGAGCTGTCTGCATGGCCAAGGTGAGAGGCCTGTGGCCTCCGAGGGGCCTCCTCCTGGTGGGGTTGCTGTTCCCCTCCTGAGATTCAGGAGCCCTGTGGTCAGCGCAGCGCCGCACCATGGGTGGTTTGTGACCCAAGGTGTGTGAGGGGACATGGGGTTGCAGGGGCCTGCAGTGGGCTGGGAGAAAGGTAGGTGAGCAGCTGGCTTGTCCTCCCGCCTGGCCAGTTCAGGAGGGTAGGGACTCGGAGAAGGACCTGAGTCTTGCAGGAAGGCGCCTGAACCCTCCCAGTGGGCTGGGTCCTGGGGAGGAGACAGGTCTGCGCTGGTGGCTGGGGCCAGGGCAAGAACTGAGTTTGCACCACCTGTGAGCAAGAGGCCCGAAGCCACGTGGATTTAAAGATGTGCTCAGGTGGGAGGTCCCCTCTCTCAGGGTCCTCAGCCTCCTCTCCCGACGCCCAGCAGGCTGGGGAGTGTCTCCTTTTCTTTGCACACGGAGGGCTCCACAACAAGGCCGTCATGACCCACGCGCCACCTCACTGCGGTCATAGTTACGGGCCAGGGCCCATAGCAGGGCTGGGTTCTCTCCATCCCCCAGCCTACCCGGGACCAGGAAGGGAGTTAAATATACCCGCTCCTATAAAAAGCACTGCCGCCTCCAGCATTGCACATGGCGAGGGAGGGGCCCAGCACGCCGTGGGAGAGTGACCGGGGCGGGGCTCCTGCAGGCGG